CCACACACGCTACGCGTCGCAATATTTCAACAGCGAAGAATGCACTACCGTCTGCAAAGCGTGAAGCATCGTGTCACATTGATGGCCTATAGAAGGGTGAAGATACAAGTAAAACTTTCTGATGTTATCCTGCTGTTATCAGACAAGTACTAATACGCACGTGCCGGTAAAAATGGTAATTCACATGTGAGATTTACATACTTCCTGTTGTAACGCTCACGTTTTGCTTTGTAGCTTGAGCCGCTTCCTATGACTGCAGTGAGGACGCAGGGCCCACATACGGTGCAGCGTATGAACGTTGGCCAGCCCACGCCACAGCCGTAGGTGTTCTTTCTAAGGGATATCGGCTCAGAACCGATCTCGCACAGTGAAATGAAAGAAGAAAAGAAAAGAAGGGCATGCCGTCTACGTCACCCGTTGGGATATGTACGGGTGTGCGACGGTGGGTTAGCTAATTCACGTGGTTCTTATTATAGACGCTGGGGAAGCCATGGCCAACGTGATGGCAACGCTGGAGTGGATTGAAGGTCTCTTCATCCCGACGTGAGGTACCACCGAGCCATTTGACGATTGCCATTTCCTACGTAAGGTATGGTGAAGCACTTTCTCAAAAATATAAGACGGGGCTGTGAAAAGTTCTTATCTCGGATTAGTGGATGTGCCCGGTGAATAGGGTGGAACAGATCTAAATGAAGTGAATCAAAGGTGAAACGCTGGGTGCCGCAGATAGCATAAAATCATACCGTTGATTGGCGATCCAGGGGTGATGTACCTGAATCCATACCCTATAGATGCTGCCTGGATGGACCTGAAATAGGAGAGTAAAGAAAATGGATATAGGGGATAACAGTAGCTAAAAGTATGAAGAATGGCAGGAGGAGCACTGTTGGTGGCAGTATAACTCAGATCCACCAAGTGGAGGCTTGGATCCACCCTCGCCCAAGTACACCTAGGTGAAATGGGAGCGGGTGAATCGAGTGGGGTCCTATACAGTAAGGGCAAAAGACACCATCTGAAGGTGGATATGGCGTGAATGACGGGTGGAAATGTAAGCTGCACCACTAGGCGTTCCAGATTCAACTGTCCCCAGGCCGGATCCAACGGATCAAGGATCCCACACAGAGAAACTGACATTTGTATACAAAGGGTAATGAATCCAATGGACCTCGAACTTCCGTGGAGCGATGGAGGCTGTAGACACCAGTGATGTGGTGTTGGATGATTGAAGGGCTCAGCTCTACAAAGTGTGTACACTTACGGAAAGGTGATTTAAAGGTACTTGGATCCTGGACAATGGACCCGTAATCTGGCAATCTTATGATGATTAAGCCATGGATTCGGTAGAGCTGATGCTGATACAACTGGAGTAATGGACCAAGGTGAGAATGGGCAGGCAGCCGAGCCTAGTAAAGGGATTTAGTGGGTAAAAGACAAAAAAACATAGATAGTAGAAATCTAGGCTGGTATAGACTTACCTACAAATCAGACTTCAATTCGCACAATATCACGCGAGTGTCTTTCTGCCCTCAAGAATCGGATCTACATTGACCACACGAGCTCGGTGAAGGTTGGAAACCGCAGAGCTAGCGTTGATAGGGATAATAGCATAATATACTGGCCAGATTCTACCAGCTAGTACGCTTTCCGTTTCATGTGCAGATCCGTAAATTTAACCGGATTTACCACTTGACCATATATGCCAAAGAATCTCTCAACGCTCAAGATACCGCTAGGAAAGCGGGAAGTACGGCGCAAACGAACCATAAGGCAAAGGAGCACATTCTCAAGGCAGCCTGACGGCTAGATCCCAGATTTAGGACCTCGATCCACGAAGTTCGAATAGTTGCTTGAATCCACAACTACTACTGGGTGCAGAGTGAAGATCTTACCCCTCCTGCTCAGACCTTACCCCTCCTGCTCTGCCCCATCCACACGATTCGCGAAGACACTCAAGCTTCACCACTTTAGCACTTCGGACGTTGCCGAGAGAGCAACATCCCGCCCAACCGACGGGTACCCAAGGTGAGGAAATTTTAGCAGATCACGGATAATAGAGGGATCCCTTCCGGTTAGTCGGTGTCTGGGTGCTGTCGGAATGTTGGTGATGCAATCTCCCAGATTTTGCTGATCCAGCTACACCACAAAGGTATATACAAGTTTTCCGGGTTTTGTGTTTTGTTGGTATGAAACCCAAAACTGATACTATCGATTTTTATCTAGCTTGTGTTTACAGCAACCATGGGAAACCAAGCGCTCAACAAGTACTCACTCAGAGGCGAAGAAATCCAAGGTGGCCGTCCGTTGGAGTTTAGAGCCAAATGTGGTTGGGATCGTCATGAATACGAGCTGACATTAATTATCTTAGCTCGTGCGTATGTCTACAAGCATATGGGGATTGTTTCCCCTGAGTGCTATCGCTGCGCGACTTGCTGCGATAGAAGAAGGCCTTCGGCAACACACGGCGCGTTTCACTCCGCGGTGAAACGACAGATTGATGTCGCTAACAGAGGGTCCTGTCACTGGATGGCATTCTTTATTGACATGTCCTCGAGTAACGCGCCATGCACTGTTTGTTCCAATGCAGTCGAACGCAAGCTACGATGCGCCGGAAAGAGCCACACAAGCGGCTATAATTCCCCAACTGAGCCAATCTCAAATACGCTTCGAGCAGTGGACGCAGTGCAAGCAAAAGACTAACATTCATGTTGCATCTGGAGTAGATTATTCTAAGCGTCGATGCTTACTGGACACACGTGGCCTGACAGCTACTCCGATGTATAACAGTACATATACCTACGCGTGTGTGCGCGAGAGACAAATGCAAGGGGAATTTTGTTCGTTAACATTGATTTTGATATTTGGTTGCGCTCAATTTTGTTTTGTAGCTTAGATCCAAGATCATTTTTTGTACAGCACGTACACAATCCGGTACCAAAAATACGAATTTACGAGCGTATCCCATTTTCCAAAATTTTACCTATGGTAAACTATGATGAAGTCGAATATGACGTATAATTCCCAGTATACTAAGCAGTCTGCTATTACATGTATTATAGAGCGCGATCTATGGGAATTATGCCGTTGTATTGGATGGCGCTGTATTTTGTTGGTAAGCGCTGACAGCTCAGGTGGCCTAGACACCTGGTTTATTGATGTCCAATTGGGGCGCAGGGTCGTTGCGGGATCAAATTCGCTAATTCACCGCACTATAACCGTAAGTCGCTTCGCTCTTTTATCTTTACCTAGCTCTCTTTCTTCAATTTCATGTCGTATTAATATTATAAGCTCAACCTCAGTAGATCCGATCAGTGGCTTGCGACCACCACCGATGCTGCGACAGCGAGATGAAGCTTCGGCGCGAATTTACTCTTGGTCCCTCCACCATTGCGGAAGGATGATGCGCTTATACGCCAACCCAACTGACGAAAGTGCTTTTCGGCACATGATTTAATTCCACCACCTCCTGTCGCTATCCAGTTGATCGCACGTTATTTTCAACTCCCTTGCGTTGTGGCGGCATAACCGCAAAATTGGGAATGATCGTACTTAAAATGTTAGCTGAACTGATTCTAAGAAACTCTAGAACTGTAGGGTACTTTACACTACGATCAGCTTAAAAAATTGTGCTGAAAGGATTCTGTAAAAGTGCTAGAATTATGGAGTTGTATTTAATGCCGTACTATTTCTATAAAACGCTTACAACCAGGGCGCTCAATTAGATGGGGGGGGCACTATTTGCTATTTTGTTTTATCTTCGACACCATAAGGGTCAATATGTCAAGTCCTTCGATAGACGATATACCTGGTATACTCCCGCCGCGTAATCCGGTCTCAAAAAAGTAGCCGAGTTATCTCAGCTGTACACCCAACCCTCCGACTAATTATATCTTAGTTCTGGTACGTGGGCCGATCAACCTCCCTTCAACATGCTCCATCGTACAATCTTTTGATATACACCAGATATCATCGACATTTTGTACCTGTGCACTCTTTATATTAAAGCTAAATTTATAGATTGCTTATGACACCCTGTTATGCCAGTTTTGGGAGGCGTTCATTTATTATTACATGTCTTTCAGGTTTTACTACTAAACATTACTGTAGGGTTGGGAAAGACTACTAAAGCATATTTGATCGTCATCCAGCGGACAAATATGACCAGACAGTATAATTTCCGCGGCAATATCAACTGAAGAGATACGTAACAGTCATGTTTCCAGTGCACTTTGTCCTTATAGATGCTAGACTTGCGCACACCAAATTTCAGCTACATTGAATGAGCAGCCGATCTTCTTTTTAACCCACTGGCACCTCTCCTTGTGTTAGAAATAGCGTGGTATTAATAATACAGAGTGTATCACGCCTTGAATGAACTTACCGGTTAGGCGCCAATAGCCAAATTTAATTCAGTTCTTGGTTTCAGACGGATTCGGTATGATCCAGTAGTACCGATATATTCGGCTCACTTGTCTTTTCGCAGATTTTTCTGAGCCCAAAATGTGAAACTTTAACCCGTGGGCTCACAGTTTCCAAATACAAAACAAATAATGTAGCAACGTTGCCCGAGAACGAGAACCTGTTGCAGATAAGTCGCGGTTTTCGTCCTTTCGCATATAAAACTCCGAGCCCAAAATTTCTCAGAAACAAGTTCCTGATTCTCAGGGGTTCTGAGTAATTATCAGAACCGTAGTCCTGGTTGGGTTCTTTTTAGCGTGGAGTTGTTATACAAAATTCTACAGTAATCAATCATATGGCTAGTTGTAAACCCTGAAGACATCAGTGTATACTTTACCGGTATGTTATTTTCCATACATTGCCGCATCATCACCTCGAAGCATACTTTTCATGGGTTGTCCTGTCAGTTGCCCGCAGTAGCCCATGATTCAATTTTTAATTTATACCGGTACTGTACGGTAGCAGGCCTTAAAGTTGGCTGCCATTAGACATTTCTCTCTCCACTACCTAGTGCTCAAATCTCAAGAATTCCAGAAAATTTAGCCATGAACAGGCTTGTTCTTTTGGCGGTCGCTTTTGTGTATTTGTTAATGTATGCTGACGCGACCAGGGAGTCCAAGTTGAAGGAATTAATGGACGATCCGACTCGAGAGTTTCAGAATAACCTCGCTAGGAGGAATCTGAGAGCTGACAGGTCCGATGAGGACGAAGAGAGAGTGAATATTCCCGGCTTTAACAAAATTGCACAAGTGTTTAAGTCCAGCAAGACTAAAGAGCTTCAGGGTCTACTCAAGGCAGACGATTCGCTCGCAAACGCCTTCAAGACGTTAGGGCTAAGCAAAATGCCCATCGGCAAGGACAACTTTATCGAGACGGATATGGTGGCTAAGCTCTTTTCGAGTCCCAACTTCAAAATTTGGGCTCGGCATGCTGCAAACGTAAACAAGCAGGACCCAGAGAGCGCGATGCTTGCCGCTCTGACGAACGTCTTTGGTGAGAAAGAGGTGGCGACGATGATTTTAGTGGGGAAGCTTAGATGGAGATCAAAGAGTATTGCCCAGAAGCTGGAGACCGCGCAGCTCAGCAAGTGGTACTCGAAGGGGCTTGCAGCAGACGACGTGTTCAGGCAGATTTTGAGCGCGGATCCAAGCAGGATTAAAGGGTACGGGCGATACAAGGGTATTTGGGAGAACTACTCGTATTACTTTATCAAGAGAGTGGTGAACTATTAGGAAACTTAAAGATCTCTTCAATGTAGCTTCATTATCTCAATTCGTAGGTTTTAGTAGCAACAATTTCCGCTCAAATCATTGACATCTCAGGTTACGGCGATGAAAACAGCTGACCACGCAGGTCACTGTGCTTTGATCGTCGTTTTCTCAAGAAGTGGGGCCCAGTACGACCCAAAGGCGCAATGAGCACTACCCATGACCGGATCTTCGTTCTTCCCACCACGGGGAGCGAAGAGCCGGCTTTGGATGTCCACGTTTTTTTGGTAAAATCATAGTCTCCAACATTATTGTTATGGCGGCGGGTGCTTCAGCAGTGACAGCGACACCGCGTACGTCAATACGTGGCCAGTTGCACAAAGTCCGGCTCGAACGTCATGAAGCCTTCAGATGTCACGCGAACGAGTAAGGCTGTGGTCGCTCGCTTCATGTCAACGATAACATTTAGCTGAATGCATAACGCAGAGACCAATTTTATTTAACACCACAGTAGGCCCTGCAGGCGTCGTGGGTTGTTCCGGGAAGTCCATCAGCACGAGCAGCTTCTGCGTCCAGGGGTACGTAAAAAACAATGGTATATGGTCATAATTTATGGCCATTATGTATGGAATCGCGAAAAATGGGACGATAACCATAGTAGTCAATACAAAGTACTGCACAAGTGAAAGGTGGGAAGTTCTATCTCCAGTTGCTTTTAGTGTCTCCTATTCATTGGTAATAGCGTAATGATATCGCATTTGACCTACCGATAACAGTGCGTTGAAAATGTGTGTCCTTAGGTGATCGTCGATCAGATGGCCTCCCCATCAATAGTCCTTAATCATTTGCGGACGTCTCACTCTACACCTTACCCACTACATGTAAACGTGTGGAAGCGAAGCGTTGGCTCGATGTCACATGACCAGCATCGTGTAATGCAAAAGCCGTCGACACAGGTACATGTCCACACAGCTTCCTGATACCCATTAGAAACCCCAGCGTCAGTAATACTAAATTTGCTCACATAAGTGTCCTATTTTTCGCGATTTTGTGTCGTTACCCGGTGTAAACCACTGCAGATCGTACTCGATGACGTCATTTGGAGTCTGGGCAGTACGTGCGGCATAAACTGTCTCGCTTAGGGCCTGTTTCATTTGAGAATAAGTGGAATAGGAATACCGCAAAGATATACTACCCTACCCTTGGCAAGGAATACAAAGCTTTTATTGGCTAATAAGATAATCCAAGGAATAAGTTATTTTGAGCTTGAAAGTCAGAATAGTGAGAATATCAAGGATTACCTGTACAAGCCGATACATCATGGTTGGACTCGAGAAGGCCGGGTGCAGTTTCCAAATAGCTTCAGCAAAGCGCAATGGACAACGAAGTCGCTGCTGCCGTTGTCTGTGTGATAATTTGCGCATATGCATTTTTGTTTAACGTTGACGGTAGGGGCATGCGCGATGCTGACAAGGAGGTACACACAGTAAGAACAATTTTTTTTATACTCAATGATGACCGTCGGCAGGATGATGCCAGCTTTCGAAGCGCCTTTCGGGTTGGGCGTGGGTGCTTCGAAGCTGTTGTGGCTTTTCTCGAGGCCCAATGGTCAACATATCACAAGGGCAATCCCAATTCCTTGGGTAGAAACAGAAATTTTTTTCTTAGGGAAACGGTAGCTCTTGTACTCTGTTACCTCGGATCGCGTGGGAGTTTGAAAGACGTCTGCCAAAAATTTGGTGTCAGTACGTCTACAGGCTCCTGCGCTTTAGCTCGAATTATTCATATATTGTATTGTGAGCGAGGACGCTTTATTTTTTATCCTAAAAATGTATTAGAGTGGTCTGAGGTAGCGTCAGGTTTTGAAGGTGTATGCGGAATTCCAAACGTAGCTGGAGCTATTGATGGAACTCTAATCAAGCGTTCTCGCCCGGCGGCGTTTTGGGGTTGGTACTGTCGTAAGGGGTTTCCAGCTTACAATGTGATGGCTATTGTAGATGTTCATCAGAGATTTATGGCTTTTTCAGTTAGACCAGGGAGTTGCAACGACCAGTCTGTGTGGAGCCGTAGTCTAATGGGGAAGTATGTCAAACAAAGGTTGCCTGTGGGTATGCACTTCATAGCAGATGATGGCTATGCGTTACGCTCCTACATGCTCACACCCTTTGCCCACTACGAGCGAGCCAACCTTGTAATTAACAAGCTCAACAAGTCACATTCAAGAACACGCATGCCGGTGGAAATGGCATTTGGGGCTGTCAAAGGCCGTTTCCAAATTTTGAGAAGAGAACTCGATATGAACAGCGACGTTGAAGACGAAAAATTATTGCAAGTTGCTTCGTGCTACATAACTTTGCCTTAACGTACGAGCGCAATACCCTATTGGAGCTGGAAACCCTGGTACTTGGAGAAAGAGACAACAGCATGCAAGATAGCATGGTTCAGCATAACGACGATGGCAACGGGTGCTTTGAAACCTTGTGAGTACACGAAGGCGCGGCAGAAGAACTACAAGCAGGTCATCAAAAATGCAGTGAAATCGTTAGCATGTTAGTAAATTCCGTCACCATTTAATTTCAATGCAACAATTACCTTTGGGCCAACATGGCAGTTACAGTTGCCAGTACTGCCTTCGTCACTGAATCCGCCACAGTGTCTGCTATTGCGTCCAGCTTGGACTCTATGTCGGCAACCCGATCTCCAACTTCAGCAACATTTCGACGAACTAACGCCAAATCTGCATGGACCGTTGACAATTCACGTGCTTTCGGGGCCGCCGGCTGCCCGACAATATGGTTGACCAACGTCGAGACTGACGACGCCAAGGTCGACAAGTCACGGTCCTTCTTTGATCTCTTGACAGGTGCATCTTTGGCTGGCAAGAAAACTGAATGTCCTTTGCTTTGTCTGGATTTCGTTTGACGCTGGCATTCGGTGTTTGCTTGGTGCCCAGCGTCTTCACTGTCAGAGGTATCACCACGGTCGGAGCCATCACGGCCTACCTCTGTAGAACAAAGGGTGGTCAGACTGCCCTCACGGTCGGCAACAGCATTTCCATTCAACCCGCTGAAAGGCCCCAAACACTCTAGCATTGTATCCCAATAGGCTGGATAAACTACAGCATCCTCAACGTTGTCGCCAGTTTGTGTCTTCTCTCAGCAGTTTCTATAAACCAGCATTCAAACGGGAGTTAACAATCAAATACTATATACCTTTAAGCGTTAACTTACTTTGTATTGCGCGGTTAGAGTCTTGAGTCGACTGTGACACGACTCCCAGTCACGCTGTGCTCAGGCGCGACGCTACCATCTCCCAGTTCGTCTTCTCGTCGTATTTATTACCCTGCCTAATAAATCTGACAAAAATGTCCTCCTCCTGGAAGCGAAGCTTCAGTAGCTCGACAGTCTACACACATACTGTCAATACCATCAATAATTTGATTCAAGATGAGTTGTCCATGCCATATCTCTTCCACAGTCCAATTTGTGGCACGTTTTTTTCTTTGATTGCCCAAGCGGGCTTCAGCTTCTCTTATCATTCTATTGTTGAGTAAAACATGAAGTCGTGAGCACATAAAGAGATTCTGACAAGAAATTATTAAAGCGGAGCATCAGTAGATATAACAATACCTTTCTAGCGCGAAACCCAGTTCAGTAAATAGATGAGCTTGTTTGTTTGGGCGATTATATCTTTGTGTTCAATACCTGCATAAGGTTCACGTTTAGCAGTTAGTAGACATTACCTAAGGTCAGCACAGCATGCAAAACAGCTTTGCAGCGTAGATCGAGGCCAATCGGAACGTACAGGAACTTTGGGGAGTTTACGAATAGCAGTAGGCCGGTGAATACGCCTAATGAAGCGCCGAAACTCGGTGATTCCAGCAACAGGATGCTTCTGTCTGCGTGTGTGGGGTCTTTGCGAGTCTTGCTGCGCAGAAGCGCCGTCTGTGGCTGGCGTTTAGCTCCTTGTCTACCCCCGTTTGTCCATAGTGATCAGTTTTGGCCACTGGGTTAAGTCCCTTCACAAAGTGATATCAATTTCTACGCTACCAAGATATTCCGAATGCGTTTCATTTGAATTGCTATATCGACAGCTGCTATTCCTAACTTATTCTCAAATGAAACAGCCCCTTAAGTCGCTCTCGATCGCCACACGCTACATCCAATCTGAAGCCCCTTCCTTGCGGTACACTGCGGAAGTGAGTACAGTTGTGCACCTCCAATTCGACAGGGCGGACCATATCAACAGTGCCAGAGCATAAGTGCACAACGGAAAGCAAAAAACAAACGCAAATCCAGTGCGCTGATATTTGTTTTGTTAATTTAGTACAAAATTTACGTTTACGATGCCTGTGTGGCACCAACAGTTTCTAATAGTCTTTGCAGATATGTTGTTCCAGCCTTCAGACAACCACTTCATGGCGGAGTAAACGTCGACCGGCCTGTAAGAAACACCCTTGTAGAACAGGTCCAGCTCAGCGGCTTGCTTCTTGTTCTGGTACTCATTCTTCAGGCACTTCATGATGCCCTGGTCCATGGGCTGCAGTACGGCAGTTGTATTAGGCGGGAGCTTGGGGGTCATAAAGCGCTCCGTTGCCCAACGAGCAAGTTCGGAGTGAGAGCATGCAGGATCTGACTTGTGCTTCTCGCACAAAGACTGCTTTTGTGGTAGAGTTAGGGACATGTAGGAGAAAGGGCGATGTCCCATTGTCTTTGGCGGTAAAAATCAAAGTGTGTGTTTGTATGAAGACGTCCGATTTAAAATTTAAAATCAGATCAATGCGGCGTGTCATCCCTCCGCGAGGAGGGAAAATCGTTGAGGTTAATTGCTAGGGTGGTGATGGGCAAAGGTAATTGCGCATCCGATTCGCGTAATCATAAAATCTGGCGGAATATAGACTGATACCGGTGCCGAACTGGAGGTGCACGACTGTAACACCACAGCCGCCGGGTTGCCCTGAAATGGCTAGTTAGAAACGCGTCCACCTAAGAAAAACAATACTAGGAACTCATTATTGCCATAAAATATAGCATTCAATGATGTATCCAACCCGGCTCAGTGGCGGTAGCCTCGCTTTCTCGCAGTCCAGCGACAGCTCGAGCCACGGTTCTTGGCCGTGCACAACCGGCAACAGTCGCGTCACGGAGAGCCCGCAGCTCACATAGAAGCCATCTAAATTGGCCTAGGAGAAGGGCGTGATGCGTATTACATGAGGCTGCGAGTCCAGAATAACTTCCACGTATTGGTCAAGTAGTTGCGTGGGGAGTCCCCGACGTCTAAACTTTAGACGCCGGGCTTTAGTAATAGCCTGGTCTACCACCACCGAGTGGATACAAAGCACTGTCGGCTTATGTTTTTGCTATCTAACTGATCTTTGGCTGCTAGTGTGTCGTTGGCGAGGGTCTCGGATTCTTCGTCGTCTTTGGTAAGGCAGGATACCCAGAAAAACTGACCGGCGTTTTCTGTCGGAATCGAATGCTCGATTCCTTTCAGGAGGCCAGGCGGAGGTGGTTCGAATGCGACATGGTGAAATGTGCATTCATGTAGTCATTTTAACCCCTCGGTTACCAATTTCGTAAGTTACGAGGGAAAAAGTCGTAAGTTACGACGTATTATAGTGAGCGACTTCAAATAAATGGCTCGAAAAAAGAGGGCACGATACTTTAATCAAGTTAATTTCTGCGGCAAAAAAATATAAGCTGACAGAGGTCGAATCGGCAAGGGTCAAGGAAAGGGTAGGGTAAGGGTAGATGTCCAGATTGCTTGGTGAGTGGACCTCATTCCAGAATTTGCCACGATGGCAAGAGCTCGATCCAGCTTGTGACGGGGTCACGCAGTACCTTGCGCTAGAGGAAGCTGGCTTCCAAGAGTATACAAACTCTTAGTGAACGGCAGTTCACATGTCCCCTTTTACCGAGAGGGAGCGAAGTGACCAGTTTAAGGTAGGTTGTAAATAGAGTATATTTACAGGTAGGCTAAGCTTGAGCTAAATAAACAAACCATAAGTCACCTTTATAAAAGCAATGTCATCAGCCAATGGTTGGCTTCGGACGACCCTGGTACCATGTACCAGATATCCCGAAGTATGGCGTGTCATACTTCTGAAGTATGACGTGTCACGTAATGACGCTGAACCGGTATAAAACACGACGGCACGACGGCGATGTTACAGGTTCAACGCCGTACCAACGACGCTAGAGCGTGACCCCGCTGCACGTATACGGCCTCTGCTGAGTCTGTTCAAAGTCACAGGGGTGGTGAATTGAAGGCTCACCGGCAAAACACGCCCACAGTTTAGAAATAAGAAAAAAATTACAATGAAAAAATTTAAAGCGAAATTCGTACATTCAGTAAATGTTGTGTAAACCTTGTGTAAACATTTCAGCAGAACACGCCCACTTTCGGCGCCAAAACGGAGGATCGCCATGTTGTAACTGACTTGTTTTTTGTATTCAAAAGAAAAATAAGCCCACTGGACTTCAAACCGCCAATGTAATTGCCCTCACGACGCATTTTGCGCCGAAGACCATCAAGTACCGCCCCAAGCCCCGCCCCAAGCTTCACTATGCAGACACCGTACTTGTACCACGTAGAGGACGAAGGTCTCTTCGTCCTCTCTAAAGTGATGGAGGTGACGTGCGAGCTGCGGAAGCCTCATGATGCCATCATTAGCCCGAAAGCGCTGGCGGTGCTCTCGCAGGACTAAGCATGCTGATGGAAAGGAACAATCCATTGGCATGCTGACCTGTTCATTCTTCAACGATGCCAAGCCAAAGCTACACCGGGCCGTCCGCCTCCTCTTGGCCTGGAGCATGAGGCTCTCTCAGGCGCAGGCAGTGGAAATGGCCGAGGCGAGCGAACGCACAGTGCGCGACTGGTATGCGTACTGCTGTGGAACGTGCTCGACGGAACTCCTGAAGACCGAGTTAAAGGTGAAGCAGCACAATTACTATGCTTAAGTTGCTCTAAACTTGCTGGTATGTTGCGTGTAGATTGGAGGTGACGGTCACATAGTGGAGATTGACGAGACTAGCCTGGCCAAGAAGCGTAAATACAATAGAGGCCGCCACTACCAGGAATACTGGCTTTTTGGTGGTGTGGAGCGCGGAACTGGTCGATGGTTTGGACGTATCGTATACGACAAACGAACAAAGCAGATACTTCTTCCCATAATCAAGAAGTTTATCAAGCCACGGTAAGTTTTCATACTTTTTTGGTAATCGGTGCCTCATTTAATTTATTTCTCCTATTATTTTATTTGTAGAACTAAGATTATGTCCGACATGTTCGCTACGTACGTTTGTGAACGTGGCAACAAGCAACATACTCTCGAGAACAACCGTATCCTGCTGTCTATGAACTACACGCATAGCTGGGTCAACCACAGCATCAACTTTGTAGACCCGGTAACGGGAACACATACTAATACTATTGAGGGGCTGTGGGAGACCCGTATCAAGCGCCACATTAAAAGCATGCGAGGCATGACCAAGGACAAGCTCGACTCCTATTTGGATGAGTACATGTGGCGATCATGGGTTTTTTTCGCCAAAGGCTTCAATCGGTCAATACTTTGCTGGTCTGGTAGTTGCCATTATAAGAAATGAATAAAAAAATCTATTTTTTCTTATTTCCAAACAGTGGGCGTGTTTTGCCGGTGAGCCCTTTTGAATGTCGGGCGCAACGTACCAATGGATGAGACCAGTGTGGCGTGCAGATCAAGTCAAGGACGTCACATGTTTGTATACAATCCTATGAAACCTATAGAAAAGTACCACGTCCGTCGGTACGTCGCGTCCTGCTCATATTGGGACCGCGCTTAATTTCAAACTACACTGCAATTAGTGGGATCAAGGCCATCGGCTTCATGGTCTCATTGATCTTGAAGAAACGCAACTATTTAGCCAAAATTTGACAAGGTCTCGAAGATACGTCAACACGTGTTAGAATTTTTGGACCGTTTTTTTATCGAGACGTATTGTCACCATGAACAATTATTAAACGTCTGTCCAGTTGTTGCAAGAACCCGAGCTTAAAGGCTGGTCAATAAGATCCAACAGCTAGCATTTTCCATAGCACACGATTCCTAGAGAAAATAAATGATCACGTGGTGACAACAGCCAGGCTATATCGACTGACTATAGCATGCAAGCTGCTTCGTGGTGTTACGGCGACGACGTCAATATGGCATCAAAGGCAGATCCGTCAACTATTTCACCTGTCATGTGAATGGTAGGAAGTGTGTCAAAAGAATACCTAGTTCCAGCCTGCATAGAAGAATACAGCAAGAATATACAGGGCGTGGCAGACTAAGTTAGATCCGTGGCCAATTATTTATTGTTTAAAATGCTAGCACACGCCATGACCGACGTGGCACGATCGAACGCTTACCTAATACGTAGGTTGACTATGCACGATCGAGCGACCCATGATCATCCCAGGCAGTTTGTAATGGAGTTGGCTAGTGAACATATGAACGGCAAGTGGGTCGTAGCCGCCAGCGAGGGTCGCATGATATTTTGAGCGCAGCTCCAAGACAGCACTACGGTAAGGGATGGGGTCTATCTACCGTACTACTCCGAGCATCACCCGACGTGGCTATCCCTATTCGTGTATGCAATGCGGTTGCATCCAAGCGAGGTCAGGAGAAAACGAGCAGCAAGAGGCAACAATGCATAGTTTGTGAATGGGAGGATCGGCACCCAACCAAAGTAACACCTGTAAAGTTTGTAAGAAGCATTTTTGTTTTGAGAAATGTCAGTCATATTAAGTTATAAAGATCTAATTCGTGAAAAAGAATACCTCTCTGAATAAATTTCAGAGAATATCCTTGTGCGGTTTTTCGTATCCAGAATTGAAAGTGCGTTTTTTGCCAGGCGGGGGGGGGGGCATTATACAGCAAATCCATTGTTGATTTGCTCATTTCTTCCATATCCGAGCCAGATATAGCCCGCTCACTCACAGAGCCGCCGGACACGTTGTCCGCGCTGACGCTGTCGATGGCCTCCGCCAGTAGGTGGTGCGTTTGGGCTATGCGCGGCCGCGGCGGCATTTTGGTCCGTTGACCCAACGCGATTGGTGGAGTTTTTGTGAGGGTCGGTTTACGCAGTGTAGACGCTCGGGAGCCTCGAGCAACTATGTCCGTCGCTCCTCCCTGGAAGGGCGTCAGCTGTATGCTGAGGCCAACGAGAGATACGACCTCTGTCCATCTCGCGACATGGACATTGGTAACTGTATTCGAAGGTCTCTGTCGACCTTGGGGTGGAGTTTGAGAACTGTTGTGTTGGAATTCCCACGTGAACTTTAGCTACAAATGTAGTTAGGACGTTTCCACAGCAATACGTCTACTAGGATAGTAAACGATCGTTCGGGCGGACCTGAAGACCCCAGTTCTGCCCTTGCACCGGGACAAACTGGACCTTGTAAACTACTTATATAGACCAACCAGTAAAAATAAGAACACGCTACTAGCACGAGCAAAGCTAGTATGTGTTATGGATCCTCGTGGTCCCAACAGCGGAAGGGTACCAGGCACGGGTAAGCCTTTTACGAAGGCACCGAGTGTTCAACACTCGGTTGGAAGAATAAAAGGGATGCAATTCAAGCACTCCCAGTCGTGCAAATAGGCAACAATAAGCCGTCACGTAAAATCTCCCGATAGTAATCGGACAAAATACACAGTCTCTTGGCCTTGCCGGATGAACCCTCGCTACAGAGCTTCCAATTCACCGACCGGCATAACACACTCAAACAAGCTTGACCAGACGCTTACATTGAAGCCGGACGTCGCTCTGTGTGCTGATGTGGAAATTCTGTTATGTATTTATGTTTACCCTTTCGGGTCTATTCATAATAAGAAGTCCTAATCAAGTATACAAATATCAAGTGAGCAATGATCCGTTATGGATTATCTTGCACGCCAAGCGTCGTCTGCACCGTCGCATGAGTATCGTTAACCGTCCGCGCCCTGTCCCAGACGGTGAACGTGCTTCCAAAGGGTCGCTGAGTCGTCCGCGAACTCATCATAACCGCCACCGAGGGTTCGTACCGTAGATGGTCCGCTGAATGCGAATCCAGCCAGCCCATTATCAATAAAAAGGACAGCCTGAATTCAGTGACATGTGGACCGTATCCAATACTCGTTGAGAGTTCGGAAGTGACGCCGTCGAGTCCCTTGCACCTTGACGTCTCCGTACATCACATGACTGAGGATTCGTCGCTTGAACATCTTGGGCGGTGTCACGTCTTTGTCGACGGGTAATAATCCGCAACTACGGAGAAATCACTACACCCCAACTGCCCTTGTTGCAATGGAGGACACGGTACTGGTGCCCGTTGTGACATTTCTTCATTCTTCAATTCACCATCCAGTCACCGTATGTCCAATCGTTTGAATCGAGCCGTGTCAGACGCGTTTCAGCGTCTCAATCCTCGCCGACGTCGCGAACGTGAACGGCTGGAGGTACGTCGGCTCATCCTTCTCTTGAATCATCGGCGCCTTGCTCATCACCACGCATTACTCGACTTGTTTCTCAGGAGGGCAACACCGCGGGTTCGAACGCTCTCCAGCCTGCTATACTTCCTCCGACAGCAACGTCATCAGTCGGACCTCCGGCGCTTCCTGCCCCGGCCTCTTCACTCCCTGCGGCAGCTCCTGCAGCACTTCCTGTCGTCGCTGAATCTACGGGGATGGCTCCTGCTGGTCTTCCTACGCCTGTTGGTGGCCCTCCACCACTCCTCCGAGGATTCGCTGGCTGAGAGTACGGAGGCATCGGTCGATCCCATGATGATCTCGATAATCCCGTAGTTGACTGCCATGGCTCGTCACCAAGTGCAGCTCAGCGTTGCGCCTCCTCTCCATGGCGATGTCCACGCTCAACGTCGCTTCGAGACTGCTGTTAGTTTTGATGATGTCTTAGCTGCTGTACAACCTCTTCCGGACGCGCTGTCGGCATTACTCGAACGAGTTGCCAACTTGGAGCTTCAGCTGCGATTTGCTCAGCTGCCGCCGTACGTTCGGTGGCACCCGATATCATGGCTCGTGAGAACGCGGGAGTGTTCCTCAAGGCTGCCAACGCTGAGATCGGAGCCCTTCACAAGAACGGCAAGATTCTCCGCGAGTCGAACGCTAAGAACGACGCCATTCTCGCCAGTGTTCAAGTTACCATGGAGCGACATTCAGAAGACCTGAATCGTCTGCACTGCGAGGTCCAAGCTCGGGACGTTTTCATCGCTACGTTGAACAAGAAGCCGGCTCGTGAACGCGAGGTGTACAAGTCTTCAATTGGTGCGAATACTGAGCAGACTCGGAATCTTCATCTCCTTCTGGTCAAGCTTGCCCAGGGCAAGTACGTTGACAACGACACGCTCAAGGTCCTCGAGAACCAGCAAGACCGTAACACTCGTCTCCTCCAAGTGAATCGCACCCTCTGTGCACACGTGAGTCTGGCCGGGATGGATCCCGTGGTACTACGTCCGGCTGTTAATGGTACGTTCCTAATGTTGCTCTTCCCACCGTGTTTTCAGCAACTAACGTCCGTTCACAATCCTTCGTGATAGGTCTGACTGCGGATGAGCTGGCCCTGAACGCCCTGGACTTGGATCAAGAGACGTTGGTCGTTATGCAGCGCATACAGTCTGCTGCCGCATCTTCGGACGGTCCTTAAGCTCTCCCTGCAGCTTTGGCCAAGGCCGCTCACCAAGTGGCCCATGGGAAGTCCCACAAGCGCCTTCGACCAGGTGGCGAGGATTCAGACGACGAGCCGGACGACTCTGACGAAGCCAAGGCTCCCATCCCGACGGACAAGGCCAGTGCTTCGATGGCAGCTGCTGGTCTCGGTGATGCGCCACCTGCCGACACTTCAACTCTCAAGTCGGCTCGTAGGTCGCTATTCGGTTCGAAGGCGTGGAAGCAAGCGGTCCAGAAGAAGCGCAAGAAGACTCGTCCTCGCTCTCCCGCCAAGTCGCCCCGACTTCATATGAAGACTCGGTCCAAGTATGTACCATCTTCTCCAAGCTCATGGTCGCCATCTCCTACACCAGCGTCTTCTTCCACTCCCGCCGTGGTCGACCTCAGCGGCGACCAGCGTGACGTGGCCATGGTGGAAGTCGGTCCAAGCAGTGTCCCATCGGTTCAAGAAACTACCACCGAGTCTTCGGGTAAAGACGTGGACCCTGGGGATCACGACGATGTTCCCGGTTTTCCTGACGCCCCTTCGCCGCCGCCTCAGGGTCCTCCCGATGTGGCCAAGTCACCAGTTTCAACGATATCTCCTTCTCCAGCAGACATACGTGCCGCTGAAGAAGCCCTGCGTGAGGCCGAGCAATTTCGACTGATGTTCGGCTCAAGTGATGAAGGTGAAGAGTCGGACCACACTGTCCCACAAGGCAAGTCTGCTTCGTCGTCTGTTGCGACGTCCAAGACAGTTGAAGTCTCGGGAGTGGTTTCTACAGCAGGGCCTGCCCCTGTTGAAGCTGCTCCACCAGCCTCCGTGTCTTCAAAGCCGGCTCCGACTGCTCCGACAGCAGCCGTACCAAGCGTGTCTTCGCCCGACTTTTCGATGGAGATTGATGACGATAGAAATGCTGATGACGATCGTGGAGATGACGTGGATGACAATGAACTTTCGGTGGATGATTCTCCTGATGCCCCCAGTGGTGGCGGTGATGTTCCGCCACCTACCGATCATTCGTGCACACTCGATGACGAAGATGTCAAAGATTCCGACGGCAACTGGAGCAATCGTGGCCCAGCTCGGCCTCCGACGCCACCTCGGTCAAATCCTTCGCCAGTGGTTACTTCTCCAATCATAGTCGGCGGTCCGCCTCCTTCGTCACCGGCAAGTCACCAAGCACCACCATCTTCACCTCCTGTTCCGGTGTCTCCTCGTCCGTCTTCTTGGACTCTCGATGCTGGACCTGGACGCACAATCACGGCCATCTACACTTCGGTGCCGCGTCGTGGTTGTGCACCGTCGGTTGAGCCGTTGCCTCACCGAGTGCTGCCTGGTGTTCGCCCTACGGTGCCGGTTTTGTTCACCTTGCCAACGTGGGTTCTTCCGTACTTGGACATGGAGTTTACTGACGCAGGTGCCAAGAAGTGTTTCGAGCGACTCTTAAGCATGACCCTTCCCGAACCAACTGGTGAGGTGACCGTCCGTACGACGTTGGAGGGTCTACAAGCGTACTTTGACGATTCGCATCCTGATCATCCGTATCAGCAACTTCGGAAGCTTTACCTTTTTCAAGCGTGTCTCTTCGACACCGTCGGTTTCGATACAAGCATCCCCATCCCAAAGGGTGCTCCGATTGAGACTCGTCTCAAGCTGATCTGGGCGAACCTTCGGGGTGACGGCGGTAAGCAAGGTGACCTCGGGTTCGCGTTGTGGGAGCGTCTCCACTGGCTTCCTTTGGCTGGCATTGAGCGAGGTCTCGTTGAAGAAGCCAAAAAGATTGGCCACGACAAGGAGGGCTTGAAGGAGCTGAGAGCTCTGTTGAAGAAGCTCTTCCGTGAGCGCGACCGTCGTGCTGATCGTCTCCGTAACAAGTACCGAGAACAGTACATGGCGTGGAGTCGTGACTCGGTTTCCTCTGGTACCTCCGGTGCGCCGTTCATTCGTCCTGAGTTGCTTTTGGAGCCGTCGAAGGCATGGTACTCGATCAAGAACTTGCCGTTCGCACCTCGGACTTCCGGCTGGCTTTCCGAAGCTCCGGCTCTCGATGATCGTCAACCTTGGCGTACTGGATAGATGAATGCGCCGCATCAGCACCCGTACAACACCACGTACTTCCCGTGCCAGTGTGATCCGGAGCTTTTCAATCCTCGTGGTACGCGTTTCGTGGAAGTGTATCGAAGCGTGGTTGTTGATCCGTCTCTGGATGCCAATGAGTTTATTCCCACCTGGCGTTCGTTGTTTGACTCGCCACCGGTTAGTCCACGTCCCGTTCCGGCTGCTGCTCCTGTTGAAGCTGGTGCCGAAGATTTGCAGGGTCCGGCTGCAGCTCCAGCTGCCGAGGCTCAGGTTCCTGAGGAAGAGGAGAAGGGGAGTGGTG